ACAGTTATCAATGAGTAGTTTAATCTATAAAAGTAGACAAAATGATAATTTACCTTGTGTATCTGTTGAATTTGGTCTTCGAGTGTGATGTGCGCCCGCGCGGCCCGTGTGGCAGCTTCCACACTAGAAGTGTGTCCATCCCAAGTGACCCGGTCGTCTCTCCTTCTTTCTTCCTCTCCGATCTTCTTACCGATGGCAGTTTCTTCGTCACCCACACCGAAGATATCCGTACGACGTTCCGCGAGCTATGGACATTGAGATAAGAATATATACATTATTGCATATTTAGAATTGAACTATAGAATATGTCATTGTATACTATTTTATTGATATGAGATATGTATAACATTTATTTACCTGTTTAAGTGAAGCTTCAATAGCAGCTCCGGGTGCGAGGGCCTCGTCCCTGTCAGTACGTTCAGCAGCCGCGCGGTCTCGCTGCTCCAACCAGCGCGGGTCTAGCAGACCGATGCGCACGTGGTCAGCCACTTTGTTCGCCGGGATCTTCTCTCCGGTGATAGGCGACACCAGCCATTCTTCTGAAGCAGGTGTAGGTTGAGGCCTGGCGCGTTTGGGATCGTATTTCTTGACAACCACGCGGTCTGGTCGTGGAGGTAACGGTGCCTCATCTCCAGGTGCCCGTGGCCCACTATCTGCAGGTCCTTCATCATCTGAGGACGAGCTCTCTTCTTCCATATCCTGCACTCGGTTATCATCAGGCCGCTGTTGTTGTTGTGTTCGGTCTTCCATCTCTGCAAGCTCATCATCAGTCTCAGACTCCGATTCAGATTCCAGCTGCATCTCTGTATCATCATCTTCATTTCCATGTGTAATGTCTTCACCTCTCTCCTGTGCTAACACTCTAGCTCCCACTTCTAAAGGTGTCGTCGGAGGTGGGAAATCTCCAGGCTCACCTGCTGGATAGTCCACAGTTTCTACTACAACAAAGTCATGCCAATCAATGGAAGCATATGCAAGGCGTTCTTTCTCAATTTTGGCTTCATCAGCCGCCTTACGACGCGCTTGGTGAGAATGCCAGGCGGCTCTGCTGCGAGCTTGCTCTAATACTCCGCTTCGTACCTCAGCAGCTAGCTTCGATACTAGTTCTTTTGGTGGCAGTAAAACTTTCGTATACTGCTCTAGCAGACGAGTGAAGTACTGAAACAGTGAGTGTTGAGGGCGAAGGAAATCAAACTGATGGTTCCTTTCTTCCTTCTTCATCAAGTCGGTAAGGAACTGACGCCCGTTCCTAGCCACGAATTGTGCGGTCAGTTTAACTATGTCAAGCTCAAGTGCTGAGATAGATGGAGGGTCTGCAATGAATTCAAACTCTGGTGGAGGGTCACGTGGTGGCGGGGGCTCAGCTGGCGCGGCGGCTTTCAATAGTTCCTGCTGACGGGCTGCAGTGGCGGGCGCAAGACCAGGGCGCTGGATGGCAGGCATACCCATCATCGCTGGGGCACCTGGGTCTGGACCTATTTATGTTTCAGCATTTTAATTTTTATGTTTTGGTAACATTTTTAAAAGCAAAGTAGTATTATGTATTTGAGCACAAGCAAGAGCTTGTGCTCAAATACAGTTCATAGATGTTTTTGTGCTTAATATCTTTCTTGGGACTCATATTAACAAGTGTAATTACTAAAACCAGAGTGACTCTTGAATTCAATTCCGATCAATCAACATTGTTATTGTGAAATATTGTTTGTACTCTTGAGTTTCAACATTAGCACCCATTGCATCCATAATACTTGATATTTAACTCGTTGAGTACCGTCATTACAGACACAATTATAGAACAATAGGTTGCGGTCACCGGTGACCACTTGGTGTTTGACAGTTTAATGAAGTAAATGGCATTTTAATTGTGAAATGGCAAGTAAATGGTATCGAGTTTGGCTTAATATTCTGTACTCTGAATGCCATTTTAACAGCTACGATAAGGTTTGTACAGTATTGACAATGAATAATTATTGAGTTTTTATTGGATTGAAATTGAGATTGGTTTCAAGAGTAAGGTGGTGTTTAGTATAGTTATGGACAAGTATTTTGGCTAACTAATATGATATTATTTTATGTACAAATAGGTAGGTAGACAATATTTTAAATTTGGTAGGAATTTCTATAATAGTAACTTGTAATTACTTAACTCCTGAAATGTAATCCTCTTTTGTATCTAAGGTATTAAGTAAAGTGAATGAAATGTTTAAATTTTAAATTAATAGTAATGTGTGCACTTACCCTTCCCCTCCCTGATTTCTTTAACCTTGTGTTGATAGTAAGCATGGTACGGGTCTCCAGAGTTGAGGAAATTGAATTTAGGGTTTCCAAGCTCATTTTGTCTGATACGGGCTTCAAACTCCGGTCCATTTCGAGCTACAAAGCTAGCAGTTTTGTCCACAATATCTAAAGAGGTTGGTTAAGGAGATCATTTTGTGTATGGCTGTAAATGAAATTGATTAAGTAATAAAAATGACAGATACCTATTAATTTAGGAAGAAATCGTAATCATAGGGTTATCATCCTCATACAATCACACTTTTCTTCTAATTGTCGTATTCAGGAATGAAGCTGAAATTGAAACGGAAATTAATAAATATGTTTCACTTCATAACAATATGATATTGAAAGTATAAAATTGATTTAACGCAATAAGTATACAACAGTAAGCGCTAGTTTAAACTATCCAACAATCTGGTGGTATTATTTTAACCTATTGCTTTACGATTAGTGTTGAATGTGCAATTAACAATCAATAGAAACCTTTTAGGTTATGATGCATTTTGGTTATGATCATTAGACATTGAATATTAAATTAAATTTGTAACAGTAAAATAATAATATCAAATGACAATTAATATGTAGTATTTGTTATTTCAAAGGATACTCCTCACTTCTGGCGGAGGATAAATAATGCCAATGACGGGTGCAGAAGGAGCCTGGGGCTCCTCTATCGGCGGCTCCATCGGGATCCCCGGAGGGGGAAGCACGTCTATTGAAGGCATGGCCTGCCTTGAAAACTCCTCTTCAGTGAAATAAAGAATTATTCTATCTCAAATCACTATTTTATTACGACAACAAACAAGAAACTGCGAATGACGCGCACAGCAAATAAATGGCGAAACGAAATTATGTCAATGTCATCCATTTAATGACAGTTGACAGTTCATGACATTAGGGTTGCAAGGTTGCACAGATAGAACACAAGCTGTTATTCTCGACGCGTTAACGCGTCGCGCGGATACCACTCCCCAGAGGGAGTGGGATCCCCTTAGATCCCCTATACTTAAATATAATCTTTGGGCGTGGGAAGAAGCGCCCACGGGGCCGCGCTACTCTGGAAAAACCTTCTTACAGCTTTATTCAGCACCTACGCTCCCATACTACCAAATACACATAATAATACCGATGTTTGATTAACAATAACTGTTGAATATCTCTAAAGACTAAAAAAAAGACATTCCTAATTTTTCCCAAAAAAATTTTGATCATGTAAACATTAAAACCCTAAACATATTGTTGTATTGTAGAATAAATATGCCTTAACAAATAATATTTTTATGCAGGTGACATAATTATGACTTTAAAGTGAAATAAGAACAAGCCATTCATATAAAATTAATCTCATATTTATTTTCAGAAAACCATAGTTTAAAAATTTGCTATAGGTATTTTACTATGAGTAGTAATATTATACCACTGTGTTGTTTCGGTGATACTTTCACCCGATCGCAAGTTTTTGTCAAAGCACAATGTAAGAGTCATTATCAGCAGATATGTAAATATCCACAGCACTAAAGCAAATGTTAACATCAAAAAAGTTGCTTGGGTCTTCCATTCTGGGCTCGAAACACGAACTTCACTTTGCTTAGGTTCAATCAATCCTAGTTCTTCAGAATAAACTTTAGGCTGAAATAATTTAAGTAGCTCATGTGTTATTTCCGCTATATAGGTATTATTAGGCAATAATATTATCAGGTAATATTATTATTACGTAACAATATTACCTATATATTAGGTAATAATATTATATCTATTGAACAACATATCTCGCTCGGGATTGATTCTCGCGCCTGGCACTGCTTATTATTATCTAACCTACTTAAAAGGAGGAGGTTCTCAATTTAGCCATTTTCTTATGAAATACAAATTTTTGGGACTAGGTAGGTACCTAAATACCAGAAGACTTACACGATAGTAATTGATCCATGCTGATAAAAGAAAACTCACAATTTCAGACAAGTTTCAAGTGCACAAGGTTTTAAAAAAAGTAGGTAAATTATTATTATTTCGAAAAATACACACAATCATTCTGACTGAACTGTATTTAGTTAGGTAGGTAGGTAGGTGAGTGGGTACTTGGTACATAATAGTCTCGTCGAGACTTCTATAGTTACTCTTAGTTAGTCTTGTCGACTTTTGATTAAATAGTTACAAAACTAACTTACAAAATAATACACTTAAATAACATAATATTATGTATAATTATTTGTATTTACTTACAATATACTCATGTTGGGGGTCGTAGTCTTTGAACAAATCATTTAAGTGCATTTTGTACCTATATTTTGCCGTTTTAAAAATAACGGTTACATAGAAAATTTTATAAACAAATAAGTTTAAAATATCATTTTCATAATACAAGAGAATAGTCGCTTCTTCAGCTTGTCGATATGACAGAAAGAATGTCACAGAAATTTATAAAACCAGCATTTCTAAACATGTTTAAAATGATTGTGTAAAAAGGATAAAAGGAAAGGAATAGAATTACCTTGTTGTTGAATACACCGATACACCAAACACCTGAGAAAACGTTTAAATAATGATATGGGAACATACACGGAAACACAAATCATAAAATTGTAGAAATATAAAAATTTAATTTAATTTATTTTAAATTTTCATGAGCCCCATGAAATGACTTACAAATATTTTAAAATGAATTTGTTTTAATCTGTAAATTAAGCTTAAAATTACTTAATATAATATTCATCAATTTTATAAAATATTATTATACTTAATTATTATTCGATTTATTCGAGATGATTATGTCGTATAGTTAGTGAAATCGAGGATGGATTTAAAAGAAAAATTAAAAGTAATTCTCAGTCGAAAATATGTCCCAACTTAACTTAGATGCTTTTGAGCAAATATTACATGACAATATTTATTTAATTCTAAACCTAAACGCGACTTTTACGAGTTTTTTATGAATAGTGTCAATAGTGTATTAATATGTATAGTGTATAAATATGGTACAATAAGGTTTAACATAAACAATAGACATTGCCAGTACCGGATTAGGAATTCAACAGAAAGAGTAGCAAATGCTGCGGGGCCACGCAAAAGGAGGCCATGTAGTGTAAGGCCGAGACCTTGATTTTAGCTGTAGAAAACAAGTCCAATCTTTACTTTGCTATGGGCCCTGCACATGTTCAATTCGGAAAGTAACAACAGTAAAAGTAACAAATAGGTACTACGGGCCCCTGCAAAAGTGGGTCCTGTAAACGTAAAAACATATATTTTTGTATCAATGACGTCTGATCGACGAGCCTCTATGCTAAGGGGGCCCCTGCATAGAGGCCATGTTTAATCCGGCTCTGGGTATTAATAACTTATTTAAATTAATGAAATAGTTCATCAGTTGAGGCCATTAAGGGCTGCTAAGGCATCTCGTTGTTCATACGTTGAACGCGGAGCGATCTTCTCGCGTTCTTCATTGCCGGCAAGGAAGATCGCCAAGTGCTCCTGTAAAAGATTGAATTTTAACAAATGGCCAATTAATTATCTTGATAGATCAATGCCGCGTTGGTCATCAATGACATCGGTCAGCGAAGCAGCGAAGAAGACAGCTTTCGGCAGTCAAAGACTTATCTTTGACTGCTGAAAGCTGTTGATGGTTGATAACTGACGATGGTTTGCTAAAATTTGTTGGTCAGTAGATTGCCATCTATCCTCCACAACGTAAACTGAAAACTGTTTAAACACCTAATGTCATGGGTTCTGGACTAGCTTTAACGATTAACATAATAAATGTTTCAATGACCACCGAGATCGACGGCTTATCATGCATTCCATGACATGACTATAAAGAACCCTGAACGTTAAATTCTTTTGAATAAATAACTTAAGAAGTGTGGGAGAGCCATGCTTCGACACGAATGGGCCGGCTCGACCGGAGTGATACCACGGCCGAGCAGAAAACCGACGTGAAACAACGCTTGCATTGTGGTTTCGTCGTGTGAGTGAGGTTACCGGAGGCTCAATTACCCCCTCTCGCTAGTCTCCCAAATCCCCGAATCCTCCACAATCCTCAAATTCCCAATTCCCTAAAGGCCGGTAACGCACTTGTAACGCCTTAGTGTTTTGGGTGTCCATGGGCAACGGCGATTGCTTACCATCAGGTGATCCGTCTGCTCGTTTACCGACTTAGGCTATAAAAAAAAGTCCATCATCAAGCTACTACTTCAACCGTGGTGTATTTGATTTACGTAACACTTACCAGATAGGTTTTAGAAGCACTCTGCAGGTGTTGCAGGAGTGTCTCCAGCTTGCTGCGCCATTCCTTTACTTCAGACATTGCTGTCTCCACGGGCATGGTCTGTGAATTATATCACATTAATTGATTAATTGAGCCGTATTTTACATCTGGTGACAGTAGAATACATTTATTGCAACCCCTAATATTCTTGCGGGAATTGTACGATTTTAAAGAGGCTAATGGCTGTCATACGTATGGTCCATGGTCTATCGGGTGTGTGGGAATAGACCTGTGCAGTTTTTTGAGCTTGTGAAGGCGACCGTATCGAATATCAATTCTTTCTAGTGACACCGTAACCATTACAAAAAGAAGTGAATACCACTCTAGTACACCAGAATATTCCATCCACGCTACCAATGTTCTGTTCGGTCTACCTGTGCAGGCATACCTGTACAGATGACCTCTCCGGTACACTGCAGCGTGTATGACTTATATAAAGGACTGCTAATATAAGAGGTTAGCTCTCTGATAACCCTGAATCTGAATCCTGAATTGAGATCTCTACTTCGTCTGCCAGACGTGGAGTTATGACAAACTCCTTTTATGTAGAGGAGACAAGTTCAACGATGAACAGTCGCAGGCTTTTGATGTGATGAGCCTATGATTATGACAATGACCATTCATTAATAACGTATTTTTAACTAGCTGACCCGGCAAACTTCGTACCGCCTGAAAAATATTTTTCTCACCTTTTAAACCTTCCCTCGACTTCCACGAACATTTCAAGACCAAAATAGCCAAATCGATTCAGCCGTTGTCAAGTTTTAGCGAGACTAACGAACAACAATTCATTTTTATTTATATAGATGTCGAATATGGTGTTTTACATACATGAAAATAAAGTGCATTTTCAATTACCTTCATCAGTGCATCGGTTGCGGTGTTCAAAGTCTTCGTAATCAGTGCCATGCCTTGACGGACGTTCCTGAAACAATAACCATTGACTAAGTTCAGAAATTCATTACACCATAATGTAAAGTCTCCATAAATTATGTTCTGAGGAAGGCAAGAAGAAAGACAGCAATGATTAAGGATTAAGTTTCCATACTTGGGTAGATCAGTGTGAGTGTAGTGGATGAGATGCACCATCTTCCTGGCAGTCTCCCTGGTCAGTAGGACGACCAGTTCTTCCAAAGTAGCAGGTCGGGCTTGGTTCTCTGGCTCCGGTTGACTCAGCTCTGCGAAAAGCTCCTTAGCCTTCTGCCAGGCCAAAACAGGATCTGTGGCTATCTGTAGGAGGGAGTGCCAATGATTAGTATAACCTTATTTGTGACCTTTGTGTAAGAGTGACTAAAGAACTTCATTTGACCTTCAAAAGCTTTTATAAAATGTTTCCTTGTCTTACTCTACAATTTTCCGCTGGTGTTAATACTTTTATTACAAACACATCTCATGTATAGACCGTGAACAACAAATGTGGCATAGCAGCTGGTTGCCTTGTCATTGCAAAGTGTTTATAAATAAATAATATTTTCACGAGATTAAATTAATGTATGAACACATTACTAACTAGTTTAACATGAATCTTTAGAGATACAATGTAGCCACTTTCTCTAAGTTTAAGTTATGGGTAATTCATATTTCTTACCAATTCAGCAACATAAACGAGGACATGGATTTGTTCCTTAATAGCTTTGGCCTCGGCGAGTGCCTGCCTGGTGAGCCGTCGCTGCAGCTTCCTGCCGAGGCGCGCGCCATGTTGCACGGCCTGCGCTGCGCGCGCGCGCCCGCTGTCGCCGCCATCCACCTCGTCCGCGCTCGTCACTATGATCACCACTATGGTAAGGACACTACGTTAGGATTCTACCCACACCGATGGTATTTCAAATAACTTAGAAATTAATCTGGAGTTATTAGAATAAGATAGGTACTTCCAACTCTTCTAAGTAGGTCACATTCAATATCTACATTTTTGAAACATTTATAGACAAACAAAGAAATACCATAGGTGTCGGCGACATTTTAAAACCAGATAAAAAATGAGTAATCATGTATTTGCATTCATCAAATTGCATTCATCAACAATCTACCTGAATACATATCTGTTTATTCGTAAGAATATATATTATCACACGGTTCACTGTCCCGAAAATAAAGCAGACGACATCTAATTATTGCAATTAATCATATCGACATATAAATGGGCGCAGAGTCCAACACAGTATCACGATCACGTCTAATTTGTCAGCGGTTGAAAGTAACATTAATTGGTTCATTAATTAAGGAGCCCAATGATATAATAGTCTTTATTGCTTTGGAATATGGAATATTTATAGGACTGTAGGTGATATAAGTGCTTCCGTTAAGTCGGCCAGACAGGGTTCAGACTGGAGTTATCGTGTAACCTTGCGACCGATCGTTTATAGCTGTCTGGAATCTGAAGACAGTTGCCAATGCTATGAATTGGTACAGGTTTGAATAGGTATAAGACCACCTACACACTAGCCTTTGTCTAGTGTAGACGTTCAATAAACGTATGCTCCACGCAGGTGTCGAGATGTCGCGGTGTCAGTGCAAGTCTAAATGAATATGCTGCGTTAGCGCCGCGTTAAGGCGGCGCACTTTGTCGCTTCTTTTCATACCAATATTAACACAGACTTATATAGGTAAATACCAAAATAAAATAAGTAATTAGGTAATACATTAAAATGCTTCAAAAGATTAAGACAAAGAGCATTATGAGATCATTAAACTATTTAATTAATTTGTTATCGTTTTGAGGCTATCGCCTCGATCTCGTTCGGTATCGCTTGTGTTAATCTAATCATAAAAGAGTGCTCATTATTATGAAGATAAAAAGAGGATTTACTGAATATACCAACAATGAATAATGTTTATTTTTGTCCAATTACGTTGTAAATGAGAATAATAAATAATTTCTCAAAAGTGAGTGCAATTTAAATGTAGGTAAGGCCGCCGCACTACGGCAAAACCACGGTGGGTTTTATTAATTTTGGATTATCGGTAATACAAAATTATCAGAATACACTGAGGTAAAAGGTAGGCAACGATAACTATCTACTCGTGTTGTGATTGCACAAATAAAACACATTTGTTGTAAGTTTTTGTTGCATTTTAAATTAGGTACAATTTCCTAATCAAAGCGTGATTATGTCTGGGACTTATCAACCATCGACTGGAAGATTAGTTAGACACGTAGTATGTCTAGATATACAAGTAACGCTTTCTAAGTATTTTAAACTAGAATTAATGCTGTAAAGGTGGATCAAATTCATACAGTTCCAACTACCCAAATATACCCGAAATTCTAACTAATATAAAACTCATTTAGCTAAATGGTAGTATAGGTAGACGCGACGATATTATATACGTACACTTTTAATTCTACATATGTATATTTATGTGAATTTGCACCTGGGAATCTTTAAATGGAAAGTTTATGTACATTCCTCTAAACGATATCAGAAAAATATAATATCAATACGGGAGGTAGGGGTACCTAAGTAGGTAATAAATTATTCTAACATCTATTCTAATTTATCTATATCATCCACTTACCATCCGAAGCATCCTGTTGGTCAGGGGGCAAGTACTTGTCGACATACTTGTCGGCCGTGGTCAGCGCCCGGTCTAGTGCTGTGACGGTGACGGCAGTGACCCTGGAGTCCAGCACTGCTGTCCCCAACTGCTTCACCGAGTCCGCTCGACGTACAACGAACCGACGGGTCTCGGAGTACATCTGTTGGGACAACGAGGTTTTGAGTACCTAACGTCTCACATGGTTTGGCATCTTTTCTGTTTGAGTTTTGTGCTGACTTCGGCTGTACTTTACATTAGCTACATATGTTATTAATGTCATAAATTGCAATCAGTATCTAATTAATGACAAATTCCAGATTCAGGGCTACTGTTAAAAATTTCATAATCGAACTAGTACTTTTTTGCCTAACATTGAGCTTATACGGCGTGCTCGCCGTATAGGATGTTTCCTAAATTCATTGCTTAATCAGCAGTCTTAATAAATAGCAGCCATCGCCACTTTTATGTTCAACAATGTACAATCGTACAACTCCTATACATTACAAATGTACATAAATAATTGACTTGATCAAAAGCTGTGAAGTAACACCGCGAGATAATTACTACATGGACCTATATGACCCAAACCGGAGACGATGATAACTTTAGTATCGCAGTTGTTATGAAAACATCAACAAATGCACACCTAACCGGACATACAACCATTTCTAATGTAATACAGTGTCCTAATTTGTCAAAATAAACTGTGGGAGAGTCATGCTTCGGCACGAATGGGCCGGCTCGACCGGAGTGATACCACGGCCTCACAGAGAACCAACGAGAAACAACGGTAGCGTTATGTGTCGTCGTGTGAGTGAGGTTACCTAAAGTCCAATTACCACCCCCGTTCCCAATCTTTCCAATCCCTGAATCCCCAACAGTCCTCAAATTCCTAATCCTAAAAGCCGGCAACGCACTTGTAACGCCTCTGGTTTTTCTGGTGTCCATGGGCGCCGCCGATTGTTTACCATCAGGTGATCTATCGGCTCATTTACTGGCTTATCCTATAAAAAAGAAAATTATCTCGCAAGCGCGATTACCTTGAAAGTCGAACAAAATATGATTTTGGTATATTGATATAGTGGGTACATTGGTATTTTTTTAAGGGGGGAAAATCATCGAATGACTGCTCCCGCCTGGGTGAGGCGGGAGGGAGTGTCAGACTCTTACCGACTAAAAACCACCCCG